CCCGGGCGGGGTTAGTGAGCCTGGGCAGTGCTGACCCTGCCCTGTGCTTCGGGGAATGGGAGATGGGAGCTTTGGAAATTCCCTCAGAAGAGAAAAGCAGCGTTGTGGAGGATCCCACCCTGTCCCCAGACAGCCCCAGTCCCRGCTGGGGACTGCAGGCTCGCTCTCTGCTGGGCTCGACTACCAGCCCCAGAGGTGCCCACTTGATGGGAAACATCTTGTGTGCCTGGCACCCGCAGCAGCCATCTGCTGCTTGGGGAGGGTGGCCCAGGGCTCTGGCTCTATTTTAAACGAGTTCCAGCCATAACTGTTCRCAGCACTGGCAGATGGCAAAGCTGTGCTGAGCATTTTGATGGATGCTGGCTATTAGCAACGGGAACTTATGGATGAGGATGGAGCACAGTTCTCCCCACATCGCTCCGGCTGTCACTGTCTGCCAGCATCCCCAGTTCACCCCACAACCCCCGTGGGTGTCCCCCACCATGGTGGGATGCTGTCTCTCATGTTAACCTGTTCCCCTCTTCTTTTGCAGTTCCTGCCAGCGTACCTGGAAACCGCGAGCAGCTCACACCCGCTGCCGAGCCCCCGATGGGACTAGGGCCAAACTCCTGCACTCCTGACGGGGATGAAGGTAGAGCCATGTTACCTGCTACCTAAGCTCGCTGGTGCTGATGTGGTTTGTGGATATGGTCCCACACCCGGCTCTGTGCACAGACTCTCAGCTCTGATCCCAACCTGAGACGATTTAGCAGCAGCAGAGACCCCAGCTGTGGAGCACGCTCCCCCAACCACCCCACGACGGAGGGGCTGCAGCGCTGGAGAGTTACTATGCAGCTTGGACTGCTTGTGGTGGTGGTTTTTCTAAGCTCGATGGATCTATCAGGCAGCAGCAAAGTGGTGAAGGGCAAGAGGCAAAGACGAAGTATGTATGAAACGCTTTTCTTCTCTACTTCCTCTCATGGTGCCATGAGGGTTGTKCTGGTGTGGATGTGTTTCCAACACAGGGAGCTGGGCAGGGTCTGTGGTTCTCCAAGAGCCTGCAGAGCTCCCCTAATCCCATCTGGGCAGCCACACACTGCCCTGTCCATCCTGAGGTCACAGGGGGGGTCAGTTATCCCCCAGCCCCGAGGGTCCCTGGTGGGGCTCATGCAGGGCAGCCAGGCAGAACTGGCACAAAAGCAACCACAGGCGTTTGCCCTCCTTTGTGTAAGCTCATGTTAGAACTGTTTTACATTAAAACTGTTTTAAATTGAATTATAGAAAATTGATTTTATATTAAAACTGGGACTGCCGAGCCCTGGGAGAACAAGGAAAACCTGACGTCATGGCTAATGCTATAAAGGGCAATTTCCAGTGAGGGCCCAGTTTATACCTTTGCCAYGGATGCAGAGCTTGGCACCAGTGCCCAGCGCTGCAGGAGGGATGGGGCCGGATCCCCGGGGTTCTTTGTGCTCAGGGGTTGGGGCTCACAGTGCCAAGAGGTCCCAATCCACACCAATGAACCCTTCTGGCAGTTGGGGGCTCAGGAYCCTCTGCTTTCTGTGTCTCTTCCCAAGGCTGCAGCATCCCCCACAGCCACAGATCTGGGGCAGTCAGTGGGGCTGCCAGGCTCTYGGGTCACAGCAGAGGGACAGGGCAGCTCTCTTACCTCTGGTCCTGGCACGTGAACAYTGCGCTGCTCCGCGCTTGCTTTTGAAGTGTAGTAAACATGGTATTTAAAAGAATACATCTTTTAAATACACAGCTTTTCTATAAACAAGGACATGGCTTGCATAATAAACTAATAAAAATAACCTGCATTCTAGCCTGCAAAGAATGCGATTGGTTTCAAAACAAGCAACATTTTATATGATAATTAAAAGCAGAAAACTCTCAAGGCATGGGATTGAGTATTTTTCTTGGACTGGATGTAGGAGCTGAGAGCACATCTCTATTTTGGGGGCAGTGACACCTCCCGACTGCCAGAGAGAGTTKAACATAGGCAGGGTCAGAGTGAGACGCAGCCCTCTCACTGATGGAATTATCGAATCCATCTCACGGATGGAATTATCGAATGGTTTGGCTCCAGAGCCGTGTGCTCTGCTCCCCACGGGTGCTCAGCACGGAGGCACTGCCAGCTCCGAGCGGGGAGGCAGCAGGAGGTGCTGGACCCCTGGGCACGGGCCCATCGTGAGTGTCTGCCCTGCACGGGCACCAGGGCTGGGGTGGGCACTGCTGGGGCTCTGGGCTGCTTCTGGGTCCTGCTCCTGAGCGCTGCTGCTGTCACAACTCTCTCTGGCATCACCATGGGCAGGGTCATGGAGCGTTCTGGGCGTGTGTCAGTGCCCATCCATCGCTCTGCCCCCGTTCCTACCCTTGCTGCCAGAGGTTTGGGGTCACAGCTGGTGCCTGCAGAGCCCAGCACTAACCACTSCCTCTCTCCTGCTCTTGCAGTCAGCACTGAGCTCAGTCAGGGCTGTGCCAGAGGCTGCGACCTGTGCTCTGAGTTCAATGGGTGCCTGAGGTGCTCCCCCAAACTCTTCATCCTTCTGGAGCGGAACGACATCCGACAAATCGGGATTTGCCTGCCTTCTTGTCCACTGGGATACTTTGGCCTTCGCAATACGGACATGAACAAGTGCATCAGTGAGTGTGGGGTGGGAGGGAAGGGTGTGGGTGGGAGGCAGTGCTCTGCAGGGCACTGTGTGCTTCTGCCAGGGGTGCTGTGGCTGTGTGGAAGGGGAGAGGCAGGGCTGAGCAGGGCAGYCTGACCAGAACCCTGCTCAGCACCATGTGGGCATGCTGTGGACGTGGGGATCTTGCAGAACCTCTGGGCAGTTTTGTTCCATGTGCTGCTAGACTGGCACCCACTTCCTTTGGGATGAGGGAAATCCTTTCAGGCATTTAGTGCCTCTTTTCCTGCTCTCCTGCTCACCAGAGTCAGGCAGCTCTGAGTGCAATCCTTGCCTTGCATCTTGTAGCCAGAGCACCAGACAGAGTGCTGGACATGGAAAGACATGATCACTCCCCTGGCAGGTCTATGCACAGCACCCTCACAGCCAGGTTTCCATCGAACTCCCTTTCCACGCTCAGTCCTGTAGCTGCAGCTGTATCCTTTGCACCGTCCCCTTTGGCTGACTGATGCTCGGCTCAACACCAGCCCAAAACTTTCCCAGCCTGATTCTGTCCTGGCGGGGGCTGCTGCTGGCTGTGAGAGCTGCAGTACAGGGCTGTCCTGGTGCAAAGAAAATTGACTTCTGAGTGGCACAGCCCTGRCAAGATGCTCAGAGACATGCCCTGGCTGTTGCAAAACCCCTAGGAGCCAGGACTGGGCTCTGGTTGGCAGTGTGCARCTTTTTGAGTCTTTTGTTCACATCGAACCACATGGCGGCTTTGGTGTTTGTTTTTTTTTTTTCTTTTCCCCAGAATGCAAAATTGAGAACTGTGAGTCCTGTTTCAGTCGAAACTTTTGCACAAAATGTAAGGAAGGTTTGTATTTGCACAAAGGGAGATGCTACGTCACGTGCCCTGAAGGCTACGCTGCTGCCAACGGCACCATGGAGTGCAGCAGCCCTGGTAAGAGACCCCTGCACCCGGCCTGTCTGCTCGTGGGGAGTGCTTTGGGGTTTTAGATGGTGAATTGAACCCCTCATGGTGCCCGTGTCAAGGGGGTGACAGTGACAGCAYAGCCCTTCATGGAGCAGAGCCCTCTGAGAACCAGCCTGGATGGGGAGCAGCCCCTGGGGTTTGTGTTGTGTGAGCCAGGGTTGGTGTGGTGTTGGAAAGGAAGGGGGTGCTTGGGGATTTAGGGAGCTGCTGGGGAAGGACACCCTCCCTTCAGCCTAAGGTCGGGGAGAGACGGATGGTGAGCTCTGGGATGGCCTGAGGCAGCAACCCAGCAAAGGGAATTACAGCAGGGCTCTCTTGTTCTCTGGCAGCACAATGTGAAATGAGTGAGTGGGGGCCATGGGGGCCCTGCTCCAAGAAAAGGAAGCTCTGTGGCTTCAAGAAGGGCAATGAAGAACGAACACGGCGAATTCTGCAKGCTCCCTCTGGGGATGTGTCTCTGTGTCCTCCAACCACAGAGGTGCGGCGATGCACCGTGCAGAAGAGCCAATGCCCTGAAGGTGAGCAGAGGTGGAGGGTCTCATCATCCCTTTCCACACCCTGTTTAGGCCAGGCACAAGTAGTCAGCCAATTTTCCAGCATTCCAAATGTTCTGTGCAGCTCCTGACCTCTCTGAAGTGCAGGGGATTTGATGTGATGGCAGGTGGAAGGGGCACAGCCCCCCAGGGGGGTGATTTTTGTCCCAGCTGTGCCACTGTGCCACTGGTTTCAGCTATTTTAGACTCTTCCCTGGCCAGAGAGCAGCTGAGGGTGCCTGCCTGTGACAGGACTCCTCTACCAGAATGCCTAGGTCTGTTTTTCCCAGGAATTAGTTTTTTTCAGGATGAATGTTGGTTTGATTATCTTTCTATAGACTGGACAAGGATTGCAGCTGTGTCGAGTGTTCTGAGGGGAAATGGTTCGGAGCAGTGACCAAAGGGAATGAGCCAGCAGGGCAGGGGGAGATGRACACAGCTGATCTGTTCCCTGATGCCTCATTCCACCTCACGCTGCCCCTTTGCTTTACTGCAGGCAAAAGGAAGAAAAAGGAAGACCAAGGAAAGCAAGATAATGGGAACAGAAATCGGAAAGACACCAAAGACACCAAGTCTGGCACCAAGAAGAGGAAGAACAAACAGAGAGGGGCCACGGTGCCCATGACGCCTGCTAGCCCTGCCCAGTAGCTGGCCCTGTGCATCAGCTGATGGCAAGATTCCATTGCTGCTATGTATATGAGAGCTTTATTGAACAGAGCACTGCTACACCACGTACACATGTCCAGAGACAGACATATACTCMAGACTGACCCACGGACCGACAGAGGCCACACACACACAGTACTCGAGGAGGCTGCACACACACCCCGCCCAGGACTGCAGAACGATGCTGCTGAGGAGTGGGAACACACACGGAGGCAAAGCCCACAGCCCCAGGGCTCTGTGGGGACACTGCAGGGAGGAGAGGTGGAGCATGAGCCAGTGAAGGACATGGGATTGATTTCATGGTCAAAGGCATCAGCTGGAGCCCAGGCACGTGGCCCCAGTGCAGCCCCACTCAGCCAGAGGATGAGACTGGACCCACATGGCCACTCTCCCTGACCTGGGCTCAGACACACATGGCAGTGGCCTCTTTCTCTTCCCCCACCCCTTATYTTGTGTTTTAAGCTGTATGACTTTATCATTGCGAATACATGTTAAAAGTTTGTGGTAAGAGGTCAGTGGTATCTACCCTGAATCTGCTTCAAAGAATTATTTCAAATTTAAAAAAAAAAAACAAACAAAAAAACAAAAAACAAAACCAAAATCAAAATGACAACCAGCTTCCTGAGTGTGTGGTTCATACCTTGGCCCCTATGGAGGCTGGTGTCCCACAGGACAGAGACTCACTTGTGGAAGGGAAACTCACCAAAGCTTTAAGAAAATCCCAGAAAATGCTGCACTGCAGCCACAAATCCTGCGCTTGAGACCCCAGCTGCACCCCGCCGAGCCCCGAGGGATTCCCCACTGAAGGATCCACTTAACACACAGCAGATTGAGAAAATGAGAGGTTACAACAAACCGCAGGTTGCTGAAACATTGTGGCTCTGCTCAGAAATCCCAGCTGTGGGACCATCCCGGGCTGGGGACAGCCGGTCCAGCTGCCGGACACCACCCCGGCRTGTGGCAGGAGGGAGGCAGGAGGGAGGGGGAAAGCACAGCTCAGGCCCTGCACAAGAGAAACAAATTTTAACTTGGGTAGAAACTACTTGTCTGCATCCRACTGGCTGGAATTCCATGGATTCTCCTGCTGGGCAAGAGCCGACACCTGAGCAGAGGAACCGGGACAAGGACTGTGCAAGACAGACCGAGCAAACCCTGCATGGGAATGTTGCCTGCTCTGCTCAGGCAGTTCTGCCTTTGGTAGTGTCACAGGTTGTCTCACCATTCACTGCCCTGGTGTTTTAAAATATGCTTTCTCTGTATAAATATGGAGACACATTTAATTTTTTGAGAGTTCAGCAAAAGCCCTCTGGTCCCGAGGGATGTTTGCTATGGCTCCCAGGGTGGATCAGGGMTGTACTGCTGGAGCTTCCAGCTCCCCTGGTAGGGCAAAGGGCAGGAGAAACCTCASCTCAAACTGGTGAATCCAGTGAAATTCACTCAAACTGAATTCACCTCAAACCCTGGTGAATCTGATCTTAGCTGTAATCACTTCCATGCCACTCTCTGCTCTGTGGTTTCGGAAGGCAGAGTGAGCCAGCGAGAGTGCAGGGTCACCTGCGAGAGAGCTCCCTGTCCCTCCGAGGGTCACCTGCCCACACCCACAGCCCTGGTTCTCTGCTGCAGCTCCTGGCATCCACCAAGGACTCGGCTCTGGCACAGGACACCCCATCTCCCTTCACCTGGCCACTCCAGGGCTGGCTTGGCTCACTGCAGGATGTGGGGGCTGCACAGTTGTTTCAGCTCCAGAGCTGTACCAAGCTCTCTGTGACTGCTCTGCTGGCAGAAAAACCTTTCAGCCCATCGTCCACTCTGTGTTTAAGTAAACAAGAAGCTGTTACATCTTTGAAAGGGGATTCCATTTCAGCACAATGATAAATGACCAGCATACCAAGCAGGGAGAGAAAGAGGTTCTTAAAAGTCATCCTTTGAGTTGTTTACGGATCATGTTCATATGATTTCTGAAAGCTTCCCAGCTGAATGATCCAATCTTCCTCTATTTTCTAGCCTGTAAGAGAAGTATTTTGTTTGTGCCACAGCATTGCACGTAAGCAGAACCATTTTCCCTTCCACTTTTACCAGCACCCACCAGTCACCCGCTGGTGAACCTCAGCTCGCTCCCTGTGCCTCCCTCCTGCTGTATCCCCATCCAGTTCTCAGCGAGGATTAAGGAAAAGAGAGTGCATTAGGAAAGTTTTCTACACCAGGCTCTGTTAATGACTTGATTCCCTACAGTAACTCCTGGCATTATTAGCACAACTATTTCAAAACTAAACTGCGTATAATAAATCAACAGAACCTATTTTAGAGAACTCTAGAGATTATTAGAAAAACTGRCAAACTTCTTTTTGTTGTAGCCTTTGCCCTACTTACTTCTTTCTTTTCATAGAAAAATGGGAAGAAAAAGGGACAAAAGGCAACAGAAGTTTAAGATGCCTATTAAGAATATCCAAGATTTTTCAGTAGGGGTGATTTTAAAATTAAATTGTTTTAGAACAATTAGGAGAAAAAAATGTAAAAAATAAAACCAATTCCTTTTCTTTTTTTGAGTCAGCTCGAAAATTGTGCTTATTCCCACTCCCAGAAAGCTGGTTCAGTTATGAATTTTGGAACATTTTGCCTTTGACCAACRTGAACTGCATGCTGAGCTCCCCAGTCCAAGCTGAGATGTCCTTAGCTGGGTGATGTCACCTCAACTCACACACATGTGAAGGCTCTCCTTCCACCCACTAAATAACCCTGTTGTGGTGTTCTCTCTGTGGCATCACTGTAAAATACCTGTCTTTAAACAAATAAATCAGTAAATGCGTTTGCTGAACCAGCTTCATTTGTTTATTCATCAGATCACAACTAATCAAAAATGTCCACAGAGTGGATGAGAACATTGCTGCTCTGACTCCTGCACGTATTCCCACCCTGTGCTTTGACCAGCTTGATGCTGGAGAAGCATCTTCTGGATGGACAGACAGAGAGATCCTTTGTCAGGAACTCTACTGCACAGAAAGCAGCTTCATTTTCCCTGCTGAACAACCTGGTGTTATTCACTGGACAGAATTCCATTCACTCAGAATCTGCAGCATGGTTCCTAGGCAGTTTCCTCAGCTTTTGAGCAATCCATCCCATGCCATGGGGGAACAAAGGACCAGGAATAATGGAGAGCTTGCAGTCATGGGTTCAGAATGGTTTAATTTCTCTTTCATTTGCTGAGATTTGGAAGTTAGAGCAGATGAATGTCACCAAACACAGATTGGTTCTATCCCATTCTTAACACTCTCTGGGTAATATAAATCTGTATTTTGCATCATCTACAGTCAATGAACTGTGTGCASACACGCTCCTCACACAGTAATTCACTTTCTTTCCACCCCCAGAGAGGTGGAGGCAATGTATATACTCCTTAGCCCATGTTTATGTTAAAATGATTTCTCACTCAGGAGAAATCTTAGCTTTGATTAAAGGAAACAGAATAGGATAGTGAAACAGGTTATCTCCAAAACTATTGTTTGGATTACATTGTCTGAGAACACTAACAGGGATAATTCAGATACATATTTACAGATTTTATGAAGCCTTCACAGAGAGAGATGATAGGCATCGTGTTTTAAAAAAACTCTATTAAAATTTCAGAAATACCAATGTATTTAATCAGCCACCATAAACAAATCACCCTGATGGCACTTACCTACACRGTAATACATCACACCAACTGAATGCCAAACCATAGCTTGGATGGAGCTGCWTGCTGGAATCTCCAGGATTTTTGAAGAGCAGGATCTTAGTGGGAAATGAAGAGGCAGCCAGGCAGGTATTGTTATTTACAGCCTGAGGTAAAGCACTGGTTTAGAGGCACTGACAGGGCAGCCACAGCCCCTCCTGTGCCATGGAGGAGCTCAGCCTGCCAGGGCACAAGTTCCTTTTCATGACTGTTCAAATGAAGCCACATGAACACATTCATGTTTAAGTGCTTTAGCTTCCAGAGTGCTGGTGGAGGACAGGTCTGTGGCTCTGGTGAAGCTGAGGGTTCCTCAGCCTGCACAGCTCTAAGAGCCCCACACAYTCTGAGAGCTCCATCCCGCTGGCACAGCTCAGCCTGGGCTCTCTTCGTACACCTTTTTGCCTTTTTCCTTGATTTCAATTTTCTCCTCCCTCCCAACTTCTCCTGTTGCTTTCAGTCACCATTTTGGGAACTCTGGATAGAATACAACAATCCAGGATCACTCTGTTTTTCTGTTCAAGAGCTGTCACACCTGGAGCCTTTTGCCAAGGAGCACTGCCTCCTGCTCCTGTCAGCTGTATCCCTGGGAAGCTGTGCCTGAGGAAYTGAGCTGGGAAAGCTACTGTGGTGTTTTCTGCTGTGATTTTAAAGACGAGCTTTTTTAAAGACAAAATCCACTTGCATCCTTGTGCTCTGCTCTGCTGCAATAGAGGGAGATGGCTGATGCTGCTTTATCCTGTAAAATAAAACAGAAGAGCTCAATACCACACCAAAAAAGGGCTCYGAGTGCTAGTCCAGTCTTGTTCTGAACTCTTGGAAATCTACTTTTCCTTCATTTAATTGACAAAATCTGTAGATCATACAAGGCAGACAGTCCCTGCCAAAAATCCAACATCACTRGTTTTTAATAATACAATGGGAATAACCCCTCAGAACATATGTAATTATGGGAATGAGTCATTCCGATGGCATCACGTAACCGCATTCACTGGGATTTGACAAGGATGTGGTCACATAAAACTCAAAATTTATTTCATTTCAGCCCTGGTCAGGGCAGCAGTGCCGAGGAGGGGAGGCCATGTAGCAAAGGCAATGGACAATGATCTGTGACCCCATTGTCCTGGCTGATTGTGGCACAGACTGTGTCCTGCTGCAGCCAATGGTAACAGAACAAGAAAAAGCTAAAGATTGAAATGGGGGGATGCATCGAGAGCAAAGGAAAAGCTGTGAGTCATAAAGCACCAAAACATCAGTTTAGTGGAGCAAAACATCTGACTTGAACGTTATCAGATATGTGATAAACAGCTGTAGCCTCGGGGGTGCTGTGAGTTAAACACCAACTGGTGGCCCTAGAGAGGGAATTTGGGGCAGGGAATATGTGAGAAAGCACAGCAGGAAGGTGCCATTCTGCAGGCAGGTCCCATGCATTATCAGTAGGATCTTATGATAGAAAAGTCATAAGTAGCTCTTACGATGGCTCGTAGACCACCCCTGTGGGGTGTGGGGTGTGCTGTGAGCRTGGCTGGGTACAGGGCATGAGCTCTCCCACCAATGCTTCCAACCTGGGAATTCAGTGCCCAACTCTGGGGCATCCCCAAGACAATTTCTCCGTGCCCCAAACCTCCTGGCCAAAGCTGGCTGGGTCTGTTCTCTCACAGAAAGAGACGGCGACTTTCTGGCTGTGCCCCAAGATCTCCTGCTAACAATAAAGAGGGAGTTTTCTTAAGGGAAAGGAAGAAAGAGTGGGGGAGAGCAGAGCAAGTATTACTCAACTATTTAGTCTAAAATTTTGAAAATCAAAAGGATCTTCTGACAGATTGATATCRACTCTAATAGAAAACACACTTGTCCCGGGAAAACTCCTCTACTCGAGCCTCGAGTCTGATAGCTTAAACAATTATCTACAATTTGGAATTGATTTTTTATGCCCACATCAATGTGTACTTTTTCAATGCCCAAGGCACAGATAATTCTATTAAGAGAAAAACCAGAACGCGTAGGCTTAAGCCAAACAGCCTCCAACTCCAGACTTGGTCTTACAAAACATGTCCCAAGGCCTGACTCATCATGGCTCCCTTGTACAGCAGGGACTCCACACCTCACAGCAAAACGCTGAAAATCATTAAAAGAACAAAATCCCAGCAGCTCTGTTATTGTTCTGGGTTTAAAGGAGCATTAGCAGCACCAGAAGGACATTGCACTGGCTGGGAAMGCTCTGCTGCTAATAAGCCTTTAGGAAGGATGGGCCAGAGCTGTGTTTTGGGGAAGTATTCCCCAAAGTGCTGAGCTTGGCCCTAGCCCAAGCTCTGCTATCAATTAACACGGTTTCAGTGCAGCTTTGTTCATTTCCCCTAGGTGAGGAGCCTTCAAATTGCTATTAAAATCTGGCAGTGACATGAATGTAGGCTTAGGCTTTGGACACAGAACTTGCACAGATTTGATTTGTTAGTGCACTGTCCATGCAATTCTTTACACGCACATAAAAACGCCAGTGTAGCTATT